GTCTGGGGCACAGCTGGGAGGGACAGAGGGGTCTGGGGTGCGAAAAGGGCTTGGGGGGCGGTACGGGGGGGCCCAGAGGGGGCGGAGAACGGGGGTGGGGTGGCTTGAGCTGCTGGGGGACCCGGACGGGGACACCACTCCACGGGAACCCCGCGGTTCACCCCAGAGTCCCGGGGAATCCCACGGGACCTCCTCGGATCGCTGCGAACCCTGCCTGACCCCCCTGAATCCCCCCTGGATTCCCCCCGAACCCCTGCAGACCCCCCGGACCCCCCAGGCAGGAGAGTGGTGACCCCACCCGTGCCCTGGGTACGTGTCCGGGGGTCCCGGGGATCCCGAACCCCCGGCTCTGCAGGGGGGTTCCTAGTTCGAGTCTGGGGGGGCTCACCCCCTGTCCCACTCCCCCCGCAGGTCCCCCCGTGGCCAGGACGGAGCTGGAGGAGATGGAAGCACCGGGATGCACCGGCTCAGGTGGGGACCGGGGGATTCCGGGTGGGTCTCAGGGGTCCCGGGGGGCTCGGGGCCACCCCTGAGCTGGGGAGGGACCTGTCTGTGCCTCTTTGTCTCCCCCAGCGTGGCTGGTGGTCCCCAAGGTGGAGGTGACCCCCGAAGGTGACAGGGATGACGCAGTGGACCCGAAACTCCACGACTCAGGTGAGGGACACGCTCAGGTGAGGGACATGGCAGTCACACTGGCACTGCCAGGTGTCCCCCGGGAACGCTGGGGCAACACGGGCACTGTCACCCTGTCCTGGGGCTAGTGGCAGCGCTGGGTCCTTGGGGGATAGTCACCATGTCCCCAGGGCCAGTGGCTGTGCCAGGTCCTTGAAGTGACGGTCACCGTGTCCCTGGTGTCACTGGCCTTGATGGTCACCGTGTCCGGTGCCAGTGGCAGCTCTGCGTCCTTGGGTGACAGTCACTGTGTCCCGGTGCCGGTGGCTGTGCCAGGACACGCTGGCGTTGCCATGTCCCCTCACTGTTGTCCCTGCAGGGCAGTGGCTGGTGCGGAAGGTGAAGGTGGAGGAGGAGGATGAGGATGAAGCCGAAGCCTGGGCGGCTGCAGCCGGGACTGGGGCCGAGGCCCCGCTGGCTCCGCAGCCCCTGCCCGGCGCCATCCCCCCCGACCCCGCCGGGACCCCGGGGTGCAAAGCGGAGGAGCCGTGCCCGGAGGAGCTGGCATACGGGGTGCTGCCAACCTGGGCACCGGGGCCGCACCTGGACGGCATCGGGATGGGCTTCAGCACCGGGCTCGGGACGGGCGCGGGGATGAGCCCCGGCCCCGCGGGGTGCGGGCGCTGCTCCCAGCCCGGCCCGCGGCCCTTCTGCTGCCCGCAGTGCGGGAAGGCCTTCGGGAAGAAGGCGCACCTGACGCGGCACCTGCGGGTGCACACGGGCGAGCGGCCCTTCCCGTGCCCGCACTGCGGCCGCCGCTTCCGCCAGCGCATCCACCTGCGCTCGCACCTGCGCACGCACACGGGCGAGCGGCCCTACCCCTGCCCGCGCTGCGCCCGCCGCTTCCGCAAGAAAACGCACCTGGACCGGCACCTGCGCACGCACACCGGGGAGCGCCCGCACCCCTGCCCGCGCTGCGCCCGCCGCTTCGCGCACCGCCAGCACCTCCTGCGCCACCTGCGCCTGCACGGGGACCCGCCCCCGGGGCACGGGCAGCGCTGTGGGGACGGCGACGGGCACGGGGACCCGGCCCCGGGGCACGGACACCGCCACGGGGACAGTGACAAGCACAGGGATGGCACCGCCGAGGAGAAGCCGCTGCCCTGCCCGGGCTGTGAGATGAACCTCAGCTGGAAGCAGAACCCGGGGCTGCACACGGGAGCGGTGCCAGCAGCTGGGAATGGACACATGGAGGAGCAGCAGGATGGGGACAGTGACAAGGACGGCCCTGCTGAGGAGAAGCTGCTCATTTGCTCCCAGTGTGGGATGAGCCTCACCTGGAAGCAGAACTCGTCACACCTGTGGCAGCACCTGGAGAGCCAAGGCCTCGGCTGTGCCCAGGACCCCCAGCACCCCCTGCAGCCCCCCCAGGACCCCCAGCACCCAGCACGGGCCGAGCGCCCCTTCCTGCAGGACCCCCAGCTGCTCTCACAGGTGCCCAGTGCCAACTGCAGCCACGGCCGTGCCCAGGACCCCCAGCACCTCCTGCAGCCCCCACAAGTGCCCGGTGCCCAGGACCACCTGCCACAGGTGCCCGGTGCCAAATGTGGCCATGGCTGTGCCCAGGACCCCGCACAGCCGCCACAGGTGCCTCCTTCCCAGCGCCCCTTTACCTGCCCACAATGCGGGCGTGGCTTTGGGCGCAAGGCTCACCTGGCGCGGCACCTGCTGGTGCACTCGGGCACCCGGCCCCACGCCTGTGCCCGCTGCGGCCGCCGCTTCAGCTCCAAGACAAACCTGGGCCGGCACCAGGCCGTGCACACGGGGCTGCGACCCCACCGCTGCACCCGCTGCGGCCGTGGCTTCACCCGCAAAACTCACCTGGAGCGCCACGAGCGCACCCACGGCACCGGGACGGGGACGGGCACGGGAATGGGGATGGGGACGGGAACGGGCACGGGGATGGGGCCGGGCACGGCCACCACCGGCACGGGGACAGGCACAACCACCGCTGCTGCTGGCACTGGTGCTACTGGGTCCCAGCTGAGCTGGTCAGAGCCCCCCACCCTCTGTCCCTGAGCACCAGGAGGTGCCAGGGGCTCCAGCAGATGCTGGTGATGAATCCTTGGCACTGCGGTGTCAGGATGTGCTGGGACGTGCCACGGGCCCCGATGGCTGCCAGTGGTGAGTCCTGGCACTGGGGTGTGCAGGGGACCCAGTGGCTGCCAGTGCTGAATCCTTGGCACACTGGGATGCCAGTGCCTCCAGCAGTGCCGGAGGTGACCCCTCAGCACTTGAATGTGCCGGAAGGTGCCGGGAAGTGCCGGTGCCACATCCTGAGCACCGGGATGTGCCGGGGGCCCCGGCAGGGGGATCCCATAGGATCTCATAGGATCCTGGCCTGTTCTGCCAGCGACAGTGGCGCAGGAGCACACGCTGGAGCGCTGGGGCGCTGGAAAGCCTCCGGTGAGGGACACGGAGGTCGACAGGACGGGGACAAGACGGGATGTCCCGGGGGTGGCGCTGGAAGGCGCCAGTGAGGGAGACGGGGGACCCCAGGACGGAGACAGGCGCTGCCGTGGGCAGGACACCCCGGGAATGAAGCCGAACTGCCAATAAAATCGATTTCATGGAATTTTTCGGGGGGCCCGGGGCAATCTCGGGGCGGGCAGACGGGCCGGGGTCACCGGGGGGGAAGCATGGCCCGGAGAGGGGGCGTGGCCAGGTGAGGGGCGGGGCGTCCGCTCGTCCCAGCGGGGCGGGGCCTCGTTCCCATAGTAACAGGGGCGGGGCCTCGGGGCCGCCGGGAGCCGCCGTGCGGTGAG